GTATTGATATATAGTAAATATATACTGCTAATTTTAATAATAAAGGTAAAATATATTGATTATTCACCAGTTTCTTCGTAAACTTGAATAGTAGCTTTATCACCATCTATACGAATCACCTCACCAACAAGCTCTTCATGACCTACTCGAACCTATATCAACCAATCAATCAATCAATCAATCAATAATTACATTTAAAATAATTATTTTTATAAAAAATTGGTTTGATTTTTACCAATTCATACATAGCTGATCCTGTCATTTGTTCTGCGACCACAACTATTTGAATTGGTTTGGTGATTTTGACGGTCAAAAATATTCCAATTTTGATGGTTTAATTAAAGAAAATTACAATAGCGAATTAAAATGAAATTGCTAAAGAAGTAGCTTTCATAATGGCAACAATAAAGTCATTTTAAAAAGTACCAGGTCCAGAAACTCCATATACATAACCAAAATCACTTTCTTTTTCAGCATCTCTTATTGTTACTAAATTTTTTTTGGCATTTTCTAATGCTCCGGCCTATAAAATATTCAGAAAAAATAAATAATTTGATCGCTACTATAATTAATTTTATGAATGCAAAAAAAAAAAGAAACTAATAATGCACCATTTTATTAAATTTCCTTTACTTTTACTACTAATAATAATATTAAATATTTGCAAAAATTAATTACTAAGGAAAGAAGAACAACAGTTAAAAATTAGAGATATTACTGTTATTATTATTGTTGATGTGTGATTATCAAATAATTCTATAATCTTATTTATTCACTATTTACTTAATTTGGAAAATTTTTTTTTGAAAGGAATCTCAAAAAAGATAATCAATTTGGACCCTTTTACAAAAGAATCTCTACTTTATTGTTTATAAATATAAATTTTCGAATATTTCATTGCAATCAATTTCTTCTTTAATAATGTTCGTTCAAGTAAATATTCAGTCGATAGATCTCTATCGTAACTCTACATTTGTGCAATGAGAATATTAGAGAATAACATTAACATTGATAATTTATATATAAACAAGGTATCCCTGTTAACGCCAATTATTTAACAAGTATGGCCGACTATTACTCTTGTGCAATTGCAACCAATACATAATAATAATAACTCGGTGCTTGTCAATTAATTAATTTATGAATTTACTTTGGTTCTCACCTACTGCCTTTTTCTTGTACATAGAAAGTTTCGGCAAGTCTCAGTGGTGCTAGATAACCGCAAATAAATAAATATGACTCTTTTACAAAGCTCAAAGGCTTCTATAAAGTTCCTTTTATTTCAGTCGTTTATTTTTATTTAAGAATAGCCTTACTTTTACAATAACAATCTTATTACAATCAACCTTTGGATAATACTTTATTAATCATCGTTAACACTTGTCAGTTAACCAACATTAGTCATACATGATCTTTACTTACTCACCAAAGCAAAAATAAAGCGTGGCTTTTTACCAAAGTTCCACAATTGTTGCCTTTTCACCAAGACACTACTACGTTTGTTGCTTTTACCAAAATGCTTTACATAAAAAATAAAAACATCGTCGGTTTTATCTTTTAAAAGTCTATCTACAATTCTAGGGATTATTTATTTTATTTATCTGTTTTTCCAGCGAGGTCCTGAAGTCGTCAACCAATCATTGAAAAAATTTCAACGCCAATCAATCGGAATAATCCGAATTGTTAATAACTTTTTCATCTGGTTCATTGAAAGCACCCCGAAGTAAGTACTGGTGACAATGATTAGAGACGGTGAAAAGAATTTAAAAATACTGGTGTTTAACATTCGAGATTCGGTAACATACAATAATAATAATGTTATCATAGCTACAGTCGAAACCGATGTACTTGTTTTGGGTTCAAAGCATTGTTTTATTAAATAGTCTTCGATAAAATGATATTTTTTAAAAAAAATAAGTTATGCATCAAAATTTATACATTCGCTTATACTACATGCTATTTCTAATGAATTTTAAAACGAGTAGCAAGGTTAGAGTAGGTTTCGATTGTTTTAGAACACATATTAATATTAGTATTTTTCTATAAATCATTCGATACAGTTATTATTGTATGCGGAACCATATACAAAAATAGCCTTAAACATTAAAGCGAAACAATAGTAATAGAAATGTTCGCCTTATTGAATTGATTTTTATTATAAATGAATAGTAATAGGTAAAGAAAAACTCCGTTATAACAAAAATTCATTTCTTTAGGTTCCGACTGTAAATAACTTTTTCATTAAAGTAATCTGGAGTTAATTTATTAACTTGGAATCCATGATGAAGAAGGTTTAAAACAAGATTTATATTTGTTAATGAAATTAAGTTAATGGGGCAAGGTTTTGGATTGGGTGGAGGTAAAAGATTAAATGGTAAAGTGGTTAAAGAAATAATGTTATGATTAGAAAAGTCATATTATCAACATTATATATTAATATTCTTTCATGAACCTTTTTTGGAAAAATTCAAAATCTACTGACACCTTACTTTAACTGAAAACCATGCAACATAATCATAGTAATAGTATATCTTTGATACGAAAAAACGAGCCCATATTGAATAAGTAGCACAAAAAGCCTTTTCCTGGATTACTTGAACTTTTAATACTGCACGTCAGGACTGGAAATATTGTCTGAAAAAAAACGGAAATTTCTCCTGTAGTAGAAAAGAAAACAAAAAATTAATTCTCTTTGTTTAATAATAAGAGAGTGTGAATAGTAAAAATCGATGATAATAATATTTAATATATAGATAATAATAAGAGATATGAATAACAAAAAATTAATTCGCTTTTTTTTAAGTATTAATGATGATAATATTAATGGATGTTAATAAAAAGGCATGGATAATGAAAATAAATTCTCTTTGCAGGGATTAGATTTAATGATCTCTTTCTTTAATTAATGAGCCCTTTCTTTAGCAGATATAAAAAAAATAACAAAATAAAAATTTTAGAAATTTTTGTAAATAGGTATGATTTTTGACAGTAAAAGACTTTATTAATAATATAGTAACAATCTCATCTTGTAATTTAATAAATAAAATAAAATATCTCTTGTAATCTTATATATACATTTTAATAAAGTTTGTCCTATATATTGTTGTTCTTGCTTATATTGCCTAATCATTGATAATTTGTAAAAGAAATTATTGGTATTGGTGAAAAGAAAATAAGCTATACTATTGTAAAGTACTCATAAATAACTTATAAAAACGTTTTTTTGCCTTTAATTGCTTCCTCCTTCATAAAATCTCATACATGCCATATTTTCTGGAAGCTCTTGATGTACTCTATCTTATCATACATGAATGTTTTTACTTGGAGAGTGAAAATTATTATTTTACAACATGCGGGAAATTATATATTAAAACCATATTAGTATATTAGTATGTTTAATCAAGTTTATATAGTTAACAAATAAAATGCTTTGTAAAAAAAATATGCCCATTTTTATTTGCGAGTTTATCAGTTACATAGTAATATTCCAGAGCTATAAAATCTTATTCTCACATTCCGTTTTAATTCTAAATTTACAAATGTCCTTATTAATATGTATATACAACGAATTTAATTTTAAACTGTTGTTACACGTCGTTGTTGGCATGCAGGGGGAAAATCTCTGATATTATTTTTCCTATCATCATTATATGATTTGATTTTGATTTTATTTGATCAAGATAGATAACAATAATCTTTCGTTTCACACTTAAAAATTATATATTTATTATCGGTATATTAATATAAATTTTTCCATAAATAATTTTCACTTTGTTAATTAATATAAATGTCACTTTTATTAAAGTCTTTTCGTATTAATAATAATCAAATTACATCATTTTCTTCTTCCACTATTAGATTTGAATCAATAAAATTTAATAGGTCAATGAAAAGAAACGCAAGTTCTTGGACAACATGTAGTAAAAAGCATTTAATTCCTACTTCTGGAACATATCCCAAAGGATTTAAAGCAACAGGTTTACATTGTGGCATTAAAA